AAGTGGTTGGTGTTTTCTTCTACCCGCTGGACTTTACCTTTGTCTGCCCTACAGAAATCTGTCAGTTCTCCGACCGCGTGAAGGAGTTCAATGACGTTGGGTGCGAGGTGCTTGCCTGCTCTATGGACAGTGAGTACTCCCACCTGGCCTGGACAAATCTTGAGCGCAAGGAGGGTGGGCTTGGCAAGATGAACATCCCCATTCTTGCCGACAAGACCAAGTCCGTCATGAAGGCGTACGGCGTGCTGAAGGAGGAAGATGGTGTGGCGTACCGCGGTCTTTTCATCATTGACCCGAAGCAGAACCTGCGGCAGATTACCGTCAATGACCTCCCTGTTGGTCGCGATGTGGACGAGGCCCTCCGCCTCGTGAAGGCGTTCCAGTTTGTGGAGGAGCACGGCGAGGTGTGCCCCGCCAGCTGGAAGCCTGGCGGCAAGACGATGAAGCCGGATCCTGCGAAGTCCAAGGAGTACTTTAATGCCGTAGCTTAGCATTATGTGATTTCAGGTATTTAATTTTTTTTTCTCATTTATTGATTCGTGCGGTCAACAATTTATAATACATATTACAATGTTCCAGTCGTGCATCGGTTTAGATGTCTCTCTGCAATGGTGGAATGCACAGGGGTCAGTGTGTTAGGAGATGAGAGGTGGACGAGAGGGCGTGAACGTGCGCTGTGGCAGAAAAGTGCTGAGGCCGTGGAGAAGTTTGATGGGGTTTTCTCAGCACATTCCACAAGTCGTAGGCTCCATCCCTTCACGTTTTCCATCACTTTTTCTTTTCACTCTTTTGACGCATGCAGCCAGAGCGTCTTGCAGGTGTGTCGTTGGCAAAGAGAAAAGGAAGGAATACGAACGGTGTTAATTCCAGAAGTTTTTTTTTTTGATGATTTTTTTTTATTTTATTTTGGCCTTGTTTTTCACGTGTTTGTGTGTAAAAATATATTTGTCTGGAGTCTGATTGGGTGAGCCGTTTGCTGCAGCTGGGCCACGGGGGGCTGGCAGGGAGGGGCGGACATGCATGTATGCAGCTTACTTGCGCTTTCTTTCTTTACGTGCTCTTTTTGTTGTGGTCTCATTGTTGTTGTTGTTTTTTTTCTTTGTGACTTCACCAGCCTGCTTATGTCCAACGCTGTCGGCCGCGCGGATTCTGCGCCTCGTTCCTGTCCGTTTTTTTTTTCGGCCGTATATGACGTACGAAAGTTGGTTGTCACCAGTGGGAGGGGTGCACTCCCCTTCTGCGAGGGCGTGACCGCAGACCGGTCATTTATGTTGCTGTTCTTTTTATCCCCCCTTTTTTTTGCAGTGGCGCTTCCTTGTGCCACGTGCGGCTGGCGCGGGAAGCGGTTTGCCCTTAGCCTGTTTTCTGCCGTTGTTTGATTTTTGATTGTCGTCCACGGTGGCGGCGAGGGATGTGGCCGGGCGTGTACGTACGCGCCTGTGGGGATCTGCTGAAAGAGGAATCCTGCGGAAGGAACGGCATGGAGCTCGTGGGCGCATGCGCCCGTGCTGCCAGTGCCCCCTTGCTGGACCCAAGGGAATTTATCTCTTTCGGGCGGGCGCACGCACAACGAGGACGGGGCGTACGCTGATGCCAACGACCCAGAGATACGAACAGTGTTGAGTGGCCACCGAGCAGGAGCAACGAGAACGACAAAACCGCGGGGGGAAGCGTCAATTGTGTTGTATCGCACGTGCCAAGAGAGGCCGTTGGCTTGCACTCACTGGAGGGTAAAACGATACACTGCTGCCCGCATTGTACGTGTGTGTGTGCACTTTTGTGGGGCGTGTGCAGATTTCACTTCCTCGCCTCATTTTGCATTTCTCGCACTCCCTCTCTTTATTTCTGTGGTTTTTTTTTGCCGGCATGGACCCGGCCATCCGCCACGGCTGCCCTGCCAACGCCAACCACGCGCAACCATGCATAAGCTGTAGTGTGTGGTTCGCCCATGTTGGTCAAGCTGGATCAGTGGTGGAAAAGCAGGGCCCGCCGCCGCGTCTGCGGAGCTCGTGGGGCGCGCTTTGCCAACCTCAAGTTTCACGCTTTGTTTCTTGCTAGTGTCGTTGGCGTAGTCGAGTGGGTGATGCGGCCTACGGACAGTCCCGCCGTATACCACATCGCGCCGCCGCCGGTGCCAACGCCGCCGCCATTACCGACGTCTGTCGGCTATTAGTTGGGTCAAGAAATGCCGCTCCTACGATCCATGGAGCTCGAGGCGGAGCTCCAGCCGCACGTGCCGCAGGTCCGTGGCTTGAATTACGCCTCCCTCCGCAAGAATGAGAAATTTTTGTGAGGACACAAAGTGGGCAAGGACGGTGGTTTTGGTGCCTTGCTTGCCATGCTTATTCAACAGACGCATTTTCGTGTTTTATGCTGCTCACACCCCACATGAAGAAGGAAGAGGAAATGAGGGAGGAATGCACGCCGCACTGACGGAGTCCGCTCCACTTCGCTCTTCCCTCCCTGTGGCTTCTCTGCTTCCCGTGTTGAATAACCTGCAGACCACCGCAACAGCAAGATTCTCCACCATTGCGTGGGCCAAGCGGTTTCACACGTGTGCGCCTGTGCCTCTCTCCCACCATGATTGGGGGCTGAGAGGCCGATGCACGCCGCTGTAGCTCTCTTTCTTATTTGCCTTTGTTTATCACGCCTTCTCTTTTCGCTACGTATCTGCAATGTGTCTTTCAGTGACTTCAAGTGCTAACGCAAACACCCAAAAAAAAAAACTTTTATTTTTTCCTCAAGCCAATGTCCTGCGGCGAC